TAAAGGAGACATTCAAAATGTGCAGGACCAGGATTGAAAACATTGCTGTAACAAATCTATTTCTCATTATTTAGCATTAGCAACTAACAATAACCTACAAAACGTGTTGATTCAATAAATCCAAAAAGGGCTTCTTTGCTATTCTTCGGGCTGCTGATCTCATTCACAATTACCTCAGAACATGTCAGTCTGTCCTCGGCTCCTCATGGGGTTTCCTCTGTCACTGTATCCCATCATGCATTTCTTATTATGTCAGTTCTTTTTGCAGAGCCAATCAATATGCTGAACAAGACAAAACCAGCCTAAAACACAGATTACAACTCAATTTGGATTGTACATTAGTTAATATAAGAAACACTTGAAAGATGTCATGCAAAGTCAACTGAATATCATTTATATCTTACCTTGTTATGCTGCAAGCGGTGTGTGTTACACCCTCATTAGAGCTAAATAAGGGGCTTGTTAAATATCGTATATCCTGATAGGAAATACAATAGCTCACAGCTGAGTGAACCATACAGTGCTGAAGCTCAGATAAAATAATAATAATGAAATATTATTTCACATTACTGTATATAAGTGATTAGTGATAAGGCAGATTTAATGCAACAAATAGCGTAAAGTTAAAAATCCCATCCACTGGATGTGTGACCAATCAGCATCATAAAACTTCACAGTCCATGTAATTCTCATTGCAGAGAATAATGACCTCTTAAAAAACATCATCGACTTTCTCATTACGTGTGCCCATAATTTCTGCTCAAACTGGCCTGTGCTCCTCCATGATCAAAAATGAAATTCATAAATTCAGGAATGTCTGGCTGAACAAATGTCCTCCGACTAAAAATAGCATCTGATCAGTGGTTTCCCTGACTACCACCCCACTGTAAACGGCTTTAAGACTTTTACAGACTGAGATGAGGAAAATGTGTTTTAAGGCCTCCAATCTCAGGCAACCTTGACACGACTGGGTGGAAGGATAAATGCAGTGTTGAATGAATGACGTCACCATAGCAGTGCACACCATTTATGGAGGTAAAAATGTAGATTGCAATGCTTTAATGTGTGGTTTAAATACAGGTTAAAGGGGTTGGGTTTAAGTTAAGTATCAGGGTTTCTACAGGTTTCATCAAGTCAAATTTAAGACTTTTAAGGCCCTTTTAAGACCATTAAGAATTACATTTTAGTCTTATACAGGTTTTTTTTTATGTATTATCTTGAGGAATCAAATTATTGTTTTTAGTTGTCTCTGCCCGATTGCGGAATTTGCTATAAAAATGTCTAATGGCTCTTGTAAATTGCATCTTTTTGCAATAAAACATTTAAATATAAAAGATAAGATTTTATTGAGATGTATTGTTGGTGATTGATCGATTGGATGGAAAAATTAGGACCCGTTTAAAACCTACAACAAAATATTTCAGTGTATTTAGGACTTTTTAAGGCCTAAAATTTAGTCTTTGAAATTTAAGACATTTTAAGAGCCAGCGGACACCCTGACTGACTTGTCCTTTTTTGTAACAAGATCTGTAACCTCAGTCAATATTCCCTACATTAGTACACTAATACTGAATAATCCAGTTAAAGGAGTAAATGAATGAGTGAATTTGAGCACTGAGGGCACTGAAAGGAATGCTATTTTGTTTAGGCTTTGTTTTGATAGCCTAGTGATTTTGTCTGTACACATTTGCTTGTGTTTTATGGCAAACCCTGTAGTTTGTCGACTACTGTGTGCCTGTGGTGATTTTAACAGAAGAAAAAACATCACAGCACATCCCATTACATAATGTGCCCTTTCAATGTCACGGTGTCAGGGTCAGTGTTCTATGGTAACATAGAAGAAGACATAAAGGAGATTGGACCAATCATTGCACATGCGCAGTGGCTGGAGAAAACGGAACATTAGATTTTTTTTTTTATTCAATTAGAGCTTAAGCAACAACAGTGATGTGACAAGTCACTGCTGATTTGAAATATGCAATTTAATTGTGAGTTCAGCAAGCAGTTAGAGATTTTAGAATTCCTCCATTGGTTTAGATAGGAAAGGGACTTAGACTACAACTGTTGTGCAGTAAACCCTGCTCCATCTGACCGCACATGCTGGAGGTTTCTTAGAACCAGCTTTCCTGACAAAATGCACATGAAAAGTTGTGATTAATCACTCAGCCCTAGAGCAGAGATGATGTGGTTTTTATCCCCCGTAAACTACTGGACAATGTGTGTACAAAACAGAATTTAGTTGAAAACAAAACTATGATGGCCGACAGAGCTTAACGTGATGCAATTTAAGAGAACACATGCAATTACAAAAACATCAGCAAATTTAGAAACGATCTTCATCACTTTGACAGCTCATGTGTTGCAAATTCCCAAAACACAAACAACTGAAGAAACGGGATGCATTTAGTCACGACACAAGCAGCTTTATTAAAGCAACATTTCGGTTCATCATTAATTAAGCTAATAATTTACAAAAGACAACAGAATCATGTAATCAGGATATATAAAAAAAAATAAATAAAAAAAATCGCATTTCAAAGACCACTAACAACTTCACTGAACAAGAGTCATGGCATAATAACACATCCATGACCCTGATTAATAAATAGACTAAGCCGAAAAGAAAAAGAATGAATGGATGAATGACAACATGCAGCTCGTTTCTTCAGTTATTTGTGTTGTGACAAAATGCAGCGCGTTTCTTCAGTTGTGCTGTGAGAATTTGCAATACATGAGCTGTCAAACTCATGAAAATTGTTTCTTAATTTTCCGTTTTTTTTTTTTTTTTGTAATTGCATGTGTTTTCTTAAAATTGAAGTCTGAATATAGTTGACCAGGAGCTACAGAATTGTATTTAATCCTTTATTTTTATGGATTTTAAATGATTTATGCAAAAAATAAATAAATAAATAAATCTTAGAATTTTTTTGTCTTTGTTTCCAGTCCAAATATCTACATTTCAAAGCGAAAAACAAGATTATTTCCCTTATTCCACTTGCAGATAATTTCCTGAAAACAAGTAAAAAACTCTTAATCTACACTTATTTCTTTTGACGGTGAAAACTAAACAATTTTTTTGTACTTGTTCTAAGAATTTCTTTTTTGATATTTGGACTAGAAACAAGACAAAACAAAGTAAGAAAAGATTTTTTTTTTCGCATTGTGATTATTCAATTTCTCTACCTAAATACTGTTAGACTACAAAAAACCATCAAATAGTGCTATTCAAACTCTCTTCTGAAACTGTAATCATATTGCAATATTTTCACAGAAAAATAAAATATTGCAATATCAGATTTTTCGAGACACTACTCGCTGCAGAGCCATTTGGGCAGAGCTGAGCTCCAGCGAGGGGGAGCTTGAGCTTTCGCTCCTCCTCCTATAAGCTGTTTTAATGCGTACACCCATCCCACCCTCTAACCCCAACCCCCAGTGACATC